TCTATTTAAGTTAATGGGTTCAAACCCATAGCCTATATGAACTGAAAATCACCATTATCAACTAAATCCTAACTTCTACCACTAAGAAAATGGGAAAAGAAAAAAAGGATTTAAGTGTAAGGAGCTTACCTTTGATGTTTATGAGCCCCAAAACACTCCCAAAATTCTAATTCTTCAAGCTCTACAGAGCTTTCCAACTGTTCTCTCGTATTTCTTTGTTCTTTCTCTTTTTTTTTGCATCATTTCACGATCTTATTATAGCATAAATGTGATCATGACAATGCATCGCGGTGCATGGCATAGAGAGCATTTTCCCAAGCATGTTACCACACATACACCACGACAGCTTGTCCACAAGCCGTGGCTCATAGCACATAACCTTCCCTTTTTAGAATTTCTTCCTCTTTTCATTCTTAGGTGACCCGATTCTCCTTTGGACCCATGTTTAAGGCTGAAATTGAAACCAAACATGCCCGTTAAGCCTCTTTGGCCACACACCTCGCTAATATACTTAATTAATCTAATTCAGGCTTAATTAATTTGGTTTAAAATTGAGGATGTTACAAAATCAAAGACAAATCATCACACATATCGAACTTGAAGAGGGGATGATGGAGGTGCTAATGACGATAGTAATGGAGTTGAGGGACACAATGGTAATGGAGAAGACAATGCCAATGGAGGACATTTTAGTGTGTGGCTAAGCACAGCCATAGCCTACCTTCTAACTCACTTCGCCACTGGCTTCAACCTCTATCATCAAGCTCTGTTGTCGTTGCTGATAAGAGCCACAATGGGTCATCGTGAGGAAGAAAGGAGAAGGCTAGAGCTTGAAAGGCAATAGTGGAAGTGGATCTGATAGAACTGAGTTCCATAAGGTGACTAATGGAACTAAATTTCATCAATTTTGGTAGAAGTGAGTTCCACCAAGAACTACATTCACGCACACCAAACATGTATTTTTTAGGCTTCCATTACTACTTCCACTTCTCCAGCCTCAATTCCAACATACCAAATGAGTCCCTCAATTCCAACATACCAAACGAGTCATTAAAGGTGATTTGAAAACACTTCATGATTTCTAGTTAAAAGCAGCTAAAACCAAAAGGGATAAGTTTGTCTAGATGTGTGGACCTTGATCTTCAAAACAAGATGGTATGTTGGGTTATAGCAGTGGTTGTAACATTTCAATTTTTATTTTCTATTTTAAGTAGTATGATGAAATTATTTCACGGTAATTAAAAATGAAGAAAACTCATATACTTAGCTTTATATACTTAAAGTACTTGTTTTCAATTAAATTAAGATATGTAGATCTTTTATAAATTATTTATTTTATAATAAATATTGTTATTAATTTTATTAACATATTAAGATCCACTTGTCATGATTTGATTAGATATTAATATATTAAGTATATAAGGTTAAGTACACAAGCTTTATCTATTAAAAATTATTATATAATTATTTGAGTAAAGATAATTTAAATAAGAAAAAGAGACTTAAATTTTAAATTCTTAATTCCAAGACATGATATTTAGAAAAAGAGAAAAGTTCATGAGCGTAGATGAGATTAAATAAAATTATTTAAGATATTTTTTAACTTGACATATTATAAATAAATTAATTTTATGAAAAATTGATTTGAAAAAAAAAATGCAAACTTAGCTCAATCCTTTCAATTTAAGGAAAGTTAAAAACAAAACAAAACAAAACAAAACAAAACAAAAGGAAAGGAAAAGAAAGGAGGAAAGGTATTGGAAGAAGAAAATGATATTCCAAGCACTTGGCCCACGGCCCACTCATTTGGCCAACTTACGTATAGACATTAAAAAAAAAAAAACACATCCAGTGGAGAGATTTTTAGAGTTACGTTCTATTATTATATGATACTTTAGATATGATTTGAAGTTTTTTAAAATTAGATAAGTATCTTAAATATTTTTTAATTACTATTTTCTATTTGGTTTTTGAATTTTTGATAGTAAAATAGTAGGACTTTTTATAATTTCAGATTTATGGTGGTTTTAACTGATTAATTTGATTTTGAATATATTAATAAGGTTAGATTAATTTTTTAATCATTTTATACTTGTTCAAATGTTTGATTTCAAAGATTTGAGATTAATGTTTGTGATAAAGTTGATGTTCAAGGTGGTTAATGACATTATGACATTATGATTGTTTAATTTCAGATTTCTTGATTTTGATTGAGTTTATTGAAGGTTATATTGAAATTTAATCAGTTTATAATTTTTGGAATTAATCTTGAATCAAATTTGGGAATTTTGATTGAATCCCAAGTGTAAAAAGAGGAATTTTGATCCTTAGAGTTAATTATTTTTTAAAAACTTGATAATTGGTTATGAGTAACATCTGTAAAAACTTGTTAGAAGTGGGTTGTGCGGTTAAATCACAAGTTTGGTTGGCTTTTCTAACTATAGATAAATTAATGTGAATTTTTTAGGTATTTTTTGTATGAGTAATATGGATATTGGTTGGCTACAAAATTATTACAGCTAAGAACTCTAGGTAATATGAATCTTATACTTAAATTTTCATAGTAATTGAATTTGATTTGAGCTACATTGAATGCTTGAGACTCTTATCCTTAAAAGGAATTTTTTTTAACATAATTGTGAAAATTAAAACTTAGAGCTTTTAGTAGTTTTTGAAAGTTATTTTAAAATGAATAAACGATTATGATAAAGTTAAATTTTAAAAAATTCATTTGATATATTTGAATTTAAATTTTAAAATAATGAAACAAAATTTGATGATGAACTTTATTTTAATTTTTGAATAGGAACCGGATACTCCTATAATATGGGGGGGGGGGGGCAACAATCTCAATATAAATAGAAAAAGTTAACAGCCCAACCTACTCCTCTTTCATCAATTCCACCTCTTAGTCAAGACTCAAGAGAAGAGGTGAGAGTTGATCAAAGAGACAAAAGTTGAAATTCATCACAATATATCCTAACTAGTTTATTAGCATAAGCATTGTTCTCTAGATACATGAAGTGAAGTGGCAACTGCCAATCTCGGTAGCTAGCAAATCAATTTTTAGTATTAAGTTATGTGTTTTTACAAGTATCAGTTTTCCCTTCTTTAGATAATGTGCAAACTCTAATTTATACATGTAGTTGGATGCATGGTTTTGTTCATGGTTAGTTACTTATATTTTATCCTTTACATATTTTCATTTTCGGATGAAAACATGAAAATGACACAGCACGTTCATTATTTAATCTTGGTGAAGAAGATATTAGAAAGTCCAATACTTAGCTTTCTTAAGCTCAGGATTCAGTTCAAATATGTTGTTTACAAATGATATGACTAGACTTGTAATGATCTTTTAGAATATATGTGCGAACTTTAGTTTTATTTACACTTTACATGTGAAATTTAAACTTTAAATTCTTATTGAATATTTTAGAATTAAGTTGGACTTTAAAAAATCAATAAAAAATACAGGCTTTAGGGCCATGGCCAGAACTTTAAAATTTCTGGTCAAACTTTGAAAAGGGACATATTTAAAGGAAATAGAGATTACAGACTCAAGCCATAACAGGCTAAATCCATAAAGCTTGACCTATAATGGCTGGCCCAGTCTATTTCCCAGCTCTACCAGCAAGGGCCCATGATGGATTATTGGAAACGTGACCCTTTTCCAGTTTATTGTCCAGTTTAATTTTTTAAAACTTGATTTATAGCACCTGCAGGAAGGATTTTTCTTCTTTTAGTATCAAGCAAGGTCTGAATTTCTGTCTGTAAATATTATGAATAAAATGGTTTGGGCCCAAGTGCTTGGTTTAGTGGTGTAGCAGGATTTCGCGTTTTGAAAATGAATGTTTTTTTTTTCCCCTGGAATAAGTGTCTTGGCTTAGCAGTTAGCAGACTCATGTAGAAATGTGGGTCCTGTTTCAGCTTGAAGGCACATGGGACACAATTCAATGAAGCCAACTGCAACAAAAGGACGTAACAGGAGGTACTACAGAAACTTGCCCCGAGGACTCACCAGCCTTGCTTGTCTTCCTTCACAATCATCAAATAGGCTTCTTCTGCAAGCAGTAATTGATCCGATGGCATTTATATCACCCCCTCTAACCCTATTTGATCACTTGTTTTCCCTCTCCGTCTACTGTAAAATATTTATGAAACCCACATGACAAATTCTCTTGCTCCTTTTCTTTTCTCCTCTCTCTCTCTCTCTATATATATATATATATATCTATATATTTTGTAATAAACCATCCAATCCTCCAAAGCCAACGATTTTGACTAATTTAGCAGGGGCAAGTTTCTTGGGGGCAGAAATTCTATCACTAAACACTATTGCATTTTTAGCACTCAAACTCGAGATTTTATGTTAAGTTAGCACAATTCTCTTGCCAATTGAACCAAATAAGTGATTGCTAATAATTCTTTTGCTTTTTTCTTTTTCTTTTTGTTTTTTTTTGGTTGCATTCCAACGAAATGTCTCCAAGACCAAGAAGAGTAAGGACAAATATTCTGACTATTCATTTCTTCATTGAGTTGTGTGCTAGGAATAATAAGGAAATGTTCAAGTTCATAATGCAACTACAATGACTTTTTCGTTGTACTCAAGTGAGTGAGCCTTGCGCATTTTACAGAGCTTAAGATAAATATACTATTCACGATTTGTTAATAGTGCTACTTTTTACAACTTGTGTAGATAGGTTGATATTGATTAATAATGATAATGAAGTCCATAATGTAAGTTCAATGACTTTTCCCTCAAAATCAGAGTGAGCCCATGCTAAATGGAACTCGAGGTAAGCTACACTGTTCATAACTTGTGAACAATACAAGTTTCTACTGTTTTTAAAGATACATTAAGGATGAGATGAGGGTATTGATGGTGTTAATTTCAAGACATGAGTTGTTTTCCAGAACTGGTAAGGAGGATTTAGATCTGTCAACAAAGGACAAACTTTCCTACATAACTGTAAATGCAGAAGTGAAGGTTTACTTGGTTACAATTTAAAATATATAATACTTGATAACATGAAATAACAACCCCTGAGAGAGAATGAAAAGTTCCCTCCAATCTATTCTCTAATGGATCTCTCAAGTGATAAACTGACTTACATCAATTACAATACGAGCATAGAAAAAACAACTGAAATCAGATGTCAGAACTCCACACTTTGAACCTTGAAGCATTTGAACATCATCCATATCAAGCAGCACAGCCTCCACACACAATGCTTCTGCCATCCGTAAACATATTTGTCAATACTTCATGAAAATGTGTCACTTAATAATAAGAATGACAGGGATTACATATTATACTACTGTGTTCTTCTCCCACAAAATTAGAGTCACAGTCAGGTACTTACAAAAATGAGCAACCAGACCTTCTGTGCCTTTTCTTCCTTGCCATTTCCTTCCTCCTAGGAGGTTGCATAACAACCTTAATTGCAGTATCAAACACTGCTTTGACATTCTAAACCATGAAAAGATATCATTATCAGATTCTCTGCCTCCTAAGAGACATGTTACTTGTCTTAGATTTTTCATACCAAATTTCTGAGTATACTACCTGTTGAGTCTTAGAACTGCATTCAATATATGCTGCAGCACCTATTTGTTTCCTTAATTCTTCTCCCTGCTCATGATTCATAAATGAGCTCATTTATATACTATAATAGTACAATTACAAAGCACTTATTTGTAAAATAAAGTTAATGTAAAGAATAGAAACCTCAGCTGATGTTATCACATTAGACCCCAGATGATCAGTTAAATATACTCGATCTTCTCGGAGATCTGAAAAGAATATAATTAATACACTGATATCTGCAGCATCTTCAGCTTTATAAACTTGCATGATTCAAAATGTCTTGAAGCTTACCTAGCTTTGCGCCAACAAGAATGACAGGAACATTTGGTGCAAATCTACGCAGTTCTGGCATCCACTGAAGTAGAAAACAAGAGAAGATTGAAAATATATATATATACATATATGTATATGAAAAGTTGAAGACAAAATCTGTAATTGCATGAACGCTGAATGCTCCTCTTAAAGATGAAAATGGTCGCTCACTGCTAATAAGTAAAACTTAGGTGCAGAATAAGACAATGATGGAATGTTAAAAACTTTAAAAAAAAAAATGCCTACCTTCAAAGAACTGGAATCTAAAAATAAAAGGAAGAGTGAAGATTAACAAGAATCCAGTACCTTCTTAAGAACATTTTCATAGCTAGCTCGGCTGATCAAGGAGAATGCTAAGACAAATATATCTGCACCTCTGTAACTAAGCGGCCTCAATCTGCTGTAATCTTCCTGGCCTGTAATCAGAATAATAATAATAATAATAGAGAGGAATGAACAAACCATCGTACGACCATAATAAAGTATATAAATACAGAGGAGCTTCCTTCTCCTTAGAAATTGGAAGGAAACCTTGTACCTGCTGTGTCCCAGAGTCCTAAATTCACAATGCTCCCATCCACAGCTACATTGGCACTAAAATTATCAAATACTGTAGGTACATAATCCTGCCACACCCAACCAAAAAAAACAAAAAAAAAAGTGAATAAGAGACATCTGGCATTTAATAGCAAAATATCCCGGCAGGGAACATATAATATGCCCTAGAGCAGATAGTGTGCTAAATATTAAACGCTGGCAGCATTACTACTAAAAAACGAAAGCTCAATTTTTTTTAATCTATATTCCCCTGAAACCATCCAGATAGACAGGAGAAAGATCCTTAAATCGGAAGAGAACAATTATGTGCAAAGAAAAGAAAAGATTTTTGAAGGGACATACAGTGGGAAACTTGTTGCTGGTATAGCAGATGAGCATGCAGGTCTTCCCAACAGCACCATCTCCAACAGTCACACATTTAATGAACTTTGAGGCACTCATCTACTGAAGCTTTTTCAGTGCTTGAAGCAAGAATCACTTATACAACACTTGTTATTAGTTCAACATAAAGACCCTCCAAAAGGTGAGACTTAAAAACCCAAAAGTGAATAAAAAGAAGAAAGACAACAGTGACTAGATTGAGCAGAATCTGGTCTGGGGTCGGATTTTATAATAATGAGGGGCATCTCTCTTCTTCCTAGTTTCAAGAAATAAACTTAAAAATATGTGAGAGAGAGAGAGAGAGAGAGAGAGTCTGTATGCAGTCAAATGGTCTAAACCCCACTTTCGTCGCTCTCAACAAATTTCAAACGAACAGATACTTTTTTCAATTTTGACAACAGGGCCCCTCTACCCTCAAACGGTGCCTATAGCTAGAGTTTAGAAAGGTCGGTTTCCAACTATAAACCAGTAGAAACCACTAATGTTTTCAATTAACAATAGTTCAAACAGTTTATAAACAAGTTTTTCTGGCTCTTAATTAATCAACGGTATTAATTGAGCAAGCTATTTCTTCAGACTTCAGAGAGTGTTTGCTGATATTGGGCTGCGCATCAGTTCAGTGAAAGAGAAAGGTTAAAATGGTCTGCTAGTTCATTAACCCTTTCCTTTTTCTTTTTTTTTTTTTTTGGTTTTAAACTGGGAACTTAGGTTTGAGAAAGCAAGTTTTAGTATTTAGTACTACTAGACAGACATCCTGTAAATGCATTAAAAATTGAAAAAGCACGCATTTTTCGCTTGCCAATCCCAACACTTTGACCGAATGTTGCTTGCAGAAGAAGAATCTCCTATTCTTGTAGAAGAAGACTCCCAATTATGAGACGTACATGTGGATTTGGTTTTCAATAAATTTCTTCGCATCCAATCTCAATTTTTCATTTAATTATCATTTTAATTCAATGATATAAAATTGCTAATTATAACATTAAAATAAACATAATCTCAATTTGTCAGATTTTTTTCAGAATTTTTTAATGTTTTCTTACTCTAATTAAATATTTATAAATGTAACTATTGTTACTATTATAAAAAAATTAATTTACATGTCTTTTCCTTAATTTTAAATTTTAAATTAAATTTTTATAATTTATTTTATTTTAATCAAGTTCTTATTAAAATGTGTTCTCGACTGTTGTTTTGTTAAAGTTGGAGGTAACACAATAGTTTATTTTTGTATGCTTACTTTTGAATTAGAAGATTATCTTGGTAAATTTTGTGCAAGATTCAAGTATGTATATTGAAATAAAATTATTATGAAATTATCTATTGAATTACATTGTTTAAAAACCTAGTAAAATGGGATGACTATTATGCCTATGATTTGATTTTTATGAAATGAATAGTTGAGGATGAAATTTAATTTTATGACATATTTCCTCTATTTAAAAATATAAAATATTTTTAATTAAATTTCACCTCTAATAAAGTGATTATTTGCGTTTCAACTAACCATATATTTCTATATTTACTCCTATTAAACACTTTATAACAAATATAAAATCATTATTAATGGATTATTTTTGAAAAAAAGACAATAATTATATATCCAAAAAATTAAAAATAATTTATATTTTTTTAACATTTATTTTTTTAAAATATTTTATATTTTTAGACAGAGGGAGTATATATGATTTGGAATATTATTGTTGTATGCCTTGATATGAGTTGGGTTGCCATTTTGAGAGTTTATGGATATACTGATAAATTTTAATACCATGGTGTTTGATCTGTTAGATTTGTTAGTGTATTTGTATGATATTTAAATTGTTATATGATTATTTTGATTATTTTAAGTATGCTAGTTTGATATGACTTGTGATAAAACTATAGAAATGATTTCTAATGGTAATTTAATCTTTTTAAGCATGCTTGTAAGTTTTAAAAATTGAATATGATATTTATTCTTTTCAAGCATGTATGTGTTTTTTGAAATTTGACTTCTAAAATGTGATGCAAAGATGAAAAATTGTGTATGATTGTTGTTTTGAAGATTTAAAATTAATAATCTTTTGCTGCGTGATACACCTTCACTTAGTATTTGGCTTTTTTATAGTTCCTTATTATCTTAATTTGGGTTTTAGGACAATGATGGATTGTTTGAAAGCACGTCTAGCACCTCATGTATTGAAAGTCTTTTTAGCTTCTTTTTTTTTTTTTTTCTGTGCTTTAACTCAGGTGTCCCAAGTATTTAATCTAGACTAATTCAGATGGTAAATAGTTATTTTAGCATGTTTTTGTTTGACAAAATCCATATTTAGGATGTAGCTTTTTCTTTCTTTTTCTTTCAAGCCTTTCTTGCCATTTGTATTAAAAAAAGATATAATTCTTTCCATATTAAAAAAAACAACAACAACAACAACCTTTGATTAAATAAAGTTCATTAAAAACATAATGTTACTTTTTAAAAACATAAATGTAAATTTTTAAAAATATTTTTCATTTAATATAAGAGTAAAATACATTAATTGTCATCTACTTCACTTTAATTATGGACATCTCTCTTTTATTTTAGAAACCTATACAAACATTCCATGGAATCAATAATCACAAAACACACACTTTTCTTATACTTTAAAGATTTTATTTCCATCATCATTAGTTAGCCCTTAAATCATATTTGTTAGACCATTAGACCCATCTTTAAACATAAATATTGCTTGAAAATCATTTAAAATACCTAAAAATTAATGCAAATTTTTTTATTTTTTATTCATATTTTATTTTTAGTTATGTAAAATTATTTATTTATTATTTTTAAAAATAAAATAAATTCATAAGTTGGCTAAAATAATATTTCAAAAAAACATGTAAAATTACTTAATTAAATAGGTATTTAATATAATAACAGTGAAATTAATTAATATAATATATGTTTATTTCTGGAAATTTTACCAATTTCAAAAAATATTTTTATATTATTTAGTTAAATAATACTCCCTCCGTCTCAAATTATAAGATACTTTTAAATAAAATTTTACATACCAATAAACCTTATTAAATATACTTAACAACCTTATCTTTCCAAAATAAAAATATAAACTTTTAAAAATATCAATTATTTAATATATTAAAAAGAGAAAAGACAGAAATTAGTTATAGAGAGAAAGGATAATATTAAAATTAATACATTTAACGAAACCTTAATCTATATAAAGTATCTTATATTTTAGGATGGAGAAACTTCTTAAAAAGTTTCCTATAATTTGAAACAAAGAGAGTATCATAATTAATTATTTCAAGTTTATTATATTTGGATAGGGAATATACAATTATAATAAGAGCGAATTAATAATTTTAAATTTTTGTTAATTTTTATTCTTTCTACTATGATAAACCCTTTATTACTATGATAGAGTTTTGAGAAAATATCTTTTGTTTTTTACCATAGTAAACACTTTTTTATTATAGTAAGTGTTTCAGAAAGCTGAGTTTTGAGTTAATTATAATGTTTTTTAAGTAAATCAATTTGAAAAATTAGAATATTATATTTTTGCACTAGAGCCTAAATATTGTTGATGTCTATGTATTATTTGGTTATTGTGCATTGCATTTAGCTTAGTTGGCAATATATATTGTAATTTTAGTGCTTTCTCCTTGTATGGCTGTGGTTATTGTGTTAAGGCTAATTTGTTTGTATATCATTCATCTTTTAGGAGGAAAGAGAGGATGGCAATAATGCAACATATTAACACTGTTGACTCCCAACAAGGAGCTCAAAGTAATCAACCCCAACCTCAACTGTTTACTGGGCTAGGGTAAATTTTGACTTAGGTGTATAAATGTGAATGATGATGAATAATAAGGCAATAAATTAAAATAAATAGTAACCTATATAAATTAAAAGAGCTCAATAGTGAAGGAAATAAAATTGTATGAAAAGTGAATTTCTCTCTTCCCCCCTCTTTATCTTCTATACCTTTTTTTTATTTTTTCTTTTTTGTTGCTTTTTTTTTCCTTAAGTTAAGGCAAAAATATTCATGAATTTTTTTCAATAAGACCCAGTATTTTTATTAAAGAACGATATAAGAGTGCTTATAACGTTGATGAGATGAATGTAAAAGCGTCCAAACTAATAAATTTGACTAACATTCATAACATTGATCATTAAAAAGAAAAGGAACCAAACATAAGGTACAAAAATACTTATAAACTTTTTCTCTATGAGCTTCTAGTATCATAAAGTCAATAATGGTGCATGAATATCTATTAATTTCATAAAATAGGCCAACCTTTTTTAATCCATTGAATTATTTTTAATAGATTGAGAAATGTTAGATCTAATAATTTGAGTTAAACTCAACATGCCAACTTAAATAAGGTCAAAAAATCTAGGTATTGGACTTAAAAGTTTAAAAAATTTTCTTTACTTCAGGCTCATTCAAGCTGTAACATCCTGATTTTTATATAATAAAGAAATTGTGGAATTTAGGTTTTGAGGAAAAAAAATGATAATAATAGGAATTTATATTATTTGAGGTTATTTAGAAATAATATTATGATTAGGTATTTAATTATGAATTTAAAAATTTAAATTTAAAACCACATAAGCAATATTTAGTTAAGATATAATACATAAATAATTTTTTTTATGTGTGTGTTAAAAAAAAGAGAAGGTAGAAGGAACAAAAAAAAGGGGGGTGGAAGGTTGTTCTTTCTAAGTCCCACATTGATTAGATGAGGGAAGAGAAGAGGTGCCTTCATGTATAAAAAGGAGGGGGTGTGTGCATTAGGAAGCATGAGAGGCTAAGATGCAATGTAGAGGAAATTGCAACTTTTGGCCCAAAGGTTTGAATAATTAAATTCAAACCTATAGTTTTTTTTAATATAATTTTGGGACTCACAATCCCATTTTTATATTATTTTTCTCTCTTCCTCTCACGTTGCTCCGCATTTTCTCGCAAGGGGAGATTATTTTCTTTTTCTTCAGGTATGTTCTAACTTTCCTGTTTAGATTAGCATTTAAAAATTTATTTAATTACAAAATTAATTTTATAGTTATTTTCTAAATAATATTAGATTTCTAGTGATATGATTATTTTGTAGGATAGAGTAAATATTTTGATTAAGATTTTTCTATAGGATAGTTAATCTGATGATATGATGGATTAAAAATATAGGTTAAAACCCTTAGGGATATAATAAATATTACAGAATATTTTCTTGAGGTTGAAACTCATGTTTAAGAATTTTTGAGTTAAAATCTAGATCTATATGGTTGAATTTATGTGGAATCTGAGATGTAAGGATAAATCTATG